AAATAAATAAATAAATAAATAAATAAATAAATAAATAGAACATTGGTTGAGAACATTATATCTTCCCCACTGAACTGAGCTAGCACCTTTTTTGAAAGTCAGTATTGGTCTTGGGCTCTGTTTTGCTCCTTTAATGCATATATCTGTCTTGAAGCCAGGTAGAGTAAGCCCTCTACCTTTGTGAGCTTTTTTGAAGTCTTCTTAGACATCCTATGTTTCCTACATTTCCATATAAATTTTAGTTTTTAAAATTTCTATAAAAAGCCTGCTGTGAGTTTTGAAAGAGGCCTATACTCCACCTGTAGATGAATTTCAGTATATCATGATGATGGCGTGCTGTGTTTTCTCATTGAGTTGTTTTGGTTTGTTGGCTGGTTTTCTGGCACTTGGGATTGAACTCAGGAGCTTTGTACTGAGCTCCAGCTCCAGTTTTTTTTGTTTCTTTAGACAGGGTCTCAGTAAGACATAGAGTTGGCCCTTCAGGGCTTGCAGTTGCAATCCTCTTGCCTCGCCTTCCCAAAGCACTGAGGTGACGGGCTTGTGCCACCAGGGCCTGCTGCTGTTTGTCTTTTTTTTTTTTTTTTTTAATCAGTACAGGGTCTCTGGGGTCTCTGGACATATATTGGACCTGTAGTGAACCTCCTGTTTTCAGCCTCTCAAGTGCTGAGATTACAGGCGCACCACAGCGCCCAGTCTCAGTCGATGTATCAGCGTGTCCCAGGGGCAGGGCTAGCATAGCACTCGGGGATTGAACCCCTGTCTCTGCATCTGCATAAGCAGGCACTTTAATCTGCTGAGCTATCTATAATGCTGTTTCTCTTTCTTGCCTTATTGCTCAGGACCTGAAGGACAGTGTTGACCACAGTGTCGAGAGCAAACGTTACTGCCTTTTTCCTAGTCTTAGTGAGTCTTTAACACAAAGTATGATATTTACTGTATACGGAACTTTATATAGATATCTATTTCAGGTTCAGGAAGTCCCTATTGTCTTTTTCTTATTTTTTTTCCTAAATCATGAATGGGTAAATTTTTGGGGGTGCCTTTTTTCCTGCACTCTGTAAAATGATCTTATTGATAACAAGACCTTCAAATAATCCGAATAGCATAAGGGAAATGTAACTCCCAGCCTGCTGGACGTCTCAGATGCCAAGTTCTTGTTCTCTAAAATTGAAGAATGAATTCTCGAACAATGGAAGTTAAGAGTAGAAAGTATTTATTAAGAGAAAGAAAAGTTTTTCTTTTCTTTTCTTTTTATGTATTTAGTATAGGGTCTACAGGGTCTTACTACATAGATCAGACTCCTAACGATCCTCCTGTTTTCAGCCTCTCCAGCACTGGAATTACAGGCGCATGCCACCGCACCTTGTCTCTGTTCCTGTCTCAGAATGCCCCAGGGGCAGGCCAGCACGGTAGGCCGGGGATCGAGCCCGTCGCTGCATCTGCTTAAACAGGCGCTTTAGTCTGCAGAGCTATCTGGCCAGCCCAAGAAAACTTTTTTCTAAGAGGGACAGGAGTAATCCTGAGTACGTAGCTTGGGGACCCCACTTCTCAAGGGAATTTTATAGAGTAAAACCTTGAGGTAAGGCGGGAGTAAGGTAGTTAATAAGATTACAGGTACAGTCATTTAGGTAACATTGGTTCAGTGGAAAATCACAAGGTAGGTATGAGGAGAGATGAACCCCTATTGTCAAGGGATGGGGTGATAGCTCAGCGGCAAAAGTGCCTGCCTGGCAGGTGCAGGTCTTCAGTTTTGATCCCGGTACCAAAAAAGGAGCAAAAATAGCTGTCGTTAACCAGTGAGTTTACAAGTGTGGTCTCAGTTTGATAAATGGGGATCACATAGGGAAGCAAATCATGGAGCAGTTGTGCATAGAAGGAGTAGGGACCTTCCTGGAAGGGAGGGGACAGGGAGGCTTTGGTGCCTGCCCAGGGTGGATGCGGCCTGCTCTTCATCCTCGGGGACATAGGCGGGTGTCGTCCTTTCTCTGTCCTGAGGCTTCGGTGAATGCATCTCCAGGAACAGCTCTCTGCACTGACGCTTGGTGGCCCTGCCTGCCCACATGCCCACAATATTCCTAGATAACCTAACACTGTGGCTTACTTGCTTACTCTTTTATGGTGGTAAATTTTATTAGGTGACGTCTCCATGTTCATTCAGCCCTGCATTCCTGGTCATGATGTAGTAGTATTCCTTTAGTATCTTATGCAATTTGCTGAAATCTGTGTAGAGTTTTCATATCTTTGTTTGCTGTGGCTAGTGGCCTTGTCTGTTTCTGTTTCTGGGTAATGCTTGCGTCATACGGTCGGTCGGCTGCGGGTATTCCTTCCCCGCTAGTTTTCATTTGAGTCTCGAATTTTCTTTGTCAGAAAACTTGAAATTATGCATTCAATTACTTTAGTTGACAAATAATGCTATTCCATTTATTTCTTCATGTGTCTTTCAAAGAATTTGCCTGTTCACCTAAATTACTGAGTTTGTTTGCATGCAGTCAGTTGTTTATGGTATTTCTTTACTGTCTTTTTAATATTTTTGTAAATGTGATAGTACATCTCTTCTTCCTGATAATTGTTAATTTGTTAATCTTTTCAAAGAAAAAACTTTTGGGTTCAGTTCTGTTATTTTTTTAATTTTATTTTTGCACTAAGGTACATCTCTACCTCTTTTTATTTTTATTTTGAGACAAGGTCTTGCTACATTGACCGGGCTGGGCTTAAATTTGTGACCCTAGTGTCTCAGAGTCCCAGAGTGCTGAGCTCACAGCTGTGGGCCACCACACACAGCTATAAGTATTAATTTTTAATTCAAAATCAGCAACCCAGCTTATTTTGAAATTATCCCCAAGAGCTGATTTTCCAAAGTGCTTAATTAATAGAAAACAGTGTTGGCAGAGCGAGGTGGCACACGCCTGTAATTCCAGCACTGTGGGAAGCTGAGGCAGGAGAGTCACAGTTCAACACTATCTTAGGCCATTTAACAATTTGATGAGACCCTGTCTCCAAAACAAAAAAGTGCTGGTTGTAGCTGAGTGTGAAGGTGCTGACTTCAGTCCCCACTACTGGCAAAAACCCAAAAATTTCCATAAAGGGGGAAGGTGGCTGATATTAAGAAAAATGTGAAATAGTTCAATAGTATAATTATACATTTTAATGATTTTTCAAGCAGTTCTACTAAGAACAGCAAAATACAAATATTTAATGTAGGGACTCATTGGACTCTTCATGTATCCTGATTGGAACTGCAATGGGAGTGAGGTCAAGATAGCCAAGGACAGCGGCTGCGTCAGGTGGAGGTCCTCTCTCTCCCAGGAGGAGAACTGGCCACGAACTGTGGAGAAGGAGGTGTCAGTTTCAGCCTCTCCACCTAGCAGTTAGCACGCTGCAGCAGCTTGTTGGTGTGCTTGGCGGAGCACCCCTCTTCTCGGGCTGGCTTTGTCCTGCATGCATAATTACCTTCCAGCTTCAGCGGCTCCCCACAATTTAAGATTTTTAGCAGGAGTTAATTAGTTAAAATAATCATGTTTTGATTATTTTGTTTTCAAGGTATCACAGACGTCGTATGAAACTGAATCCTCCAAAAGACAGATGATATTGAGATTCATGGGAGAATCGAAGAGAAATGTTATCCTGTGCTTAGTTTGCCACTGGAAGAAATACACTAATGCTTATATGGTAATAGTCAAATAATAAAATGTCTTTTCACATACTGAACTGTGTATTTCTTTATTAAAAAGCACTTCATCTTATTTTCTCTTTGAGATATTAAAATCTACCACTCATGTGTCTGATATGGTTAGGTATTTTTATATCATCAGCCAAACATCATTAATAGTATACATGTGTAAGGGGCTGGGGAGATGGCTCAGTGGAATAAGCGCTTCCCTGGCAAGCGCAAGGGCCTGAGTTCAATCCCTGGTTCCACCAAAAAAAATAGTATACATGTGATTAATAAAAGATGCATATTTCTTCTGAAGGGATTTTTAAATTCCCTTTAAGAATAAATTTATAAATTGGGCGTGGTGGTGCCTACTTAAGTCTCAACATTTGAGAAGCTGAGGCAGGAGGATTGCTGCCAGTTCAAGGCCAGCCTGAACCACACCCAGGACAAAGATACAGAGCATTTGCATTGACTTCTAGGCAATAATTAAATTTGTTACATTTTCATCAGTTGCTGGTATTGCCAGGCCCTTTCCATAGGTTGGTAAATTGCACAATAACCATTGAAAGGAGCATTGCCCCCCCTCTCCCAGAGGACTGCCTGAACCAGCCCTGCCTAGCCAATGGGGGGCCGGGTGTGAACTGGCAGCAAGTTCAGGCAGGCTGGGTCCATGGTCAAAGCCAAGCTGGGCTGCATAGTGGGACTGTCTCAGACAGAAAACAGGTATGCAAAGTGAGTCCTTGCTCAACTCATTGTTTAGTTCTTTTAGTAGAGAAAATCTACCTGAGAGTCACAACCCTATGTTACTCAAATTTCTAAGTGGCTTGCTTTTTTTCATTGGTGCTAGAGAGTCAGTATGTTTGATAGAAACTTGATAGCCAGAAATATTAAACAGATGTGTTGGTGATAAATCCTTGAGAGATGGTAGGTTTTCCCCCAGGTTTATGTCCCAATATTTTACAATGATCAAGATAAAATAAAAACAAAATGACAGAATTTTTCTTCTGGCCACAGAGACCTAGTAAAGAAACCACTCCGCTCCAGGATGCCCAAGCCACACGCTCAGCTGTCAGTGCTTTGAAGAATGAATCTTGACCTTGTGCAGGGAATACAGAGCTGTCCCGGAATTTTCATTTTTGTGGGTTACTTATTTTTCGTTTTGTCATGCACGTTCTTTTGGCAGCGTTGCTTCTGCCCCTTGCTTTCAGGGATAGAAACCCCTTAGCACCATCACATCTATCTGAGGTACTAGAGGTTGAACCAAGAACCTTTGCACTGAGCTGCATCCCAGCCTGTATTTTATGTTTTATTTTGAGATAGGGTCTTGATGGGCTGCCTGAGCTGGGCTTGAACTTGAGCTCCTCCAGCCTCAGCCTCCCAGAGTGCTGAAATTGTTTTCATTTTTTTTTGTGATGTAAAAATTAATGGTAATTGGGGGCTGGTGAGATGGCTCAGTGGTCTAAAGCACCTACTTAGAACAAGCTTAGCAAAGCACAGGGGACTCCGGTTCAATCCCCCAGCACCACATGCCAGCCAGCCCCGCCCCCTGGTGGGCTGAGCTGGCCACACACACACACACACACACGCACACACACACATAAATAAAAATTTAAAAAAAATGGTAAAAAACACCAAGGTGAGAGGGAAAAATACAGTGTGGTGTGTTCTCCACAGCACATACAGGACACAAGAAAAGCACTTCCACAAGCCTGGGAGCCACACCACGACATCCATGGACATGGGCAACCAAAAAGGGTCCTTGACATTGATGAAGTCGGGGCTCCCTGCACTTCTGGGTTCCTCATAAACCATGCTTGGTAAAACTGACAGCAGGAAGGAGTCTTTTGTCAAAAAAAAACAAAAACAAAAAAAAACAAACCAAAAAAACCACCTTGCTTTCACAGAACTGTGCACAAGACCACCATGCCCCTGGACAATCAGTTGTGCTTCAGAGCTCTGTTAGGGTTCAGAGAGCAACAGCGAGCAAGAGCCGTTGGTGCTGATACAAACGCAGGCATGGGAAGTCAAGTGACTGCGTAAACCACGCGTCCTCTTCTTCCCCCTGGGCAGGACCCTGCCTTCCAACCTGGGCCTCACCCTCGTCCTCCTGTCGTAGGCCAGGTGTGCACCCTCAGCTCCCCTCTGCCCTCTGGTCCCAGCTCCTGTTCATCCTCTGGGTCACCCGGCAGGACCGCAGAGCCACCATGGCCCCAATCCCCGGAGGTTTCCACCCTTCTTCACAGCTCCAGCACCCTTTGGGGAGCTTGTTTCTGTTTATCCCCAACAAGTTGGGGGCCAGGGAGATGGCTCAATGGAATAAGTGCTTCCCTGGCAAGCGTGAGGGCCTGAGTTCAATGGCCGGTTCGGCCAAAATAAATAAATGAACGAATGAATGAATGAATGAATAAATAAATAAATAAATAAATAAATATCCCCATTAAGCACCGTCCTTGCTGCCTGGCCCTGCATGCCTGCAAGACTTGAAGAGAACCTTGATGCAGGGCTCATATTTATCCACACTAACCATGTTGGTCCCTTAGGGGTGAAGCAAGGGGGTCGTGGTTCATGTCCAACTTGCTGGAGTCTTCGCAGACAGGCAGTCTACTGTGGTCAAGGCTGCCTTGGGCTGCGCAGGAGCTGGTGGGTTTGATGGCTCTGTCTGTGTCCCCACGAAGCGCCCTCCAGGTCATGGTCCAGCCAGAAGCAGGGTTCCTCGGCTTCTTGTCTGTGTTTTTTTTTTTTTTTGGTTGAACCGGGGATTGAACTCAGGCCCTTGCGCTTGCCAGGGAAGCGCTTATTCCACTGAGTCATCTCCCTGGCCCACGGCTTCTTGTCTGTGCAAGGTTCCTCCGCTTCTTGTTGTTTTCTGCCTCGTGTTTTGGCAGCTCATGTTCTGGGAAACTGCGTAGAGCAGCGGGGCTTTTGCCAGCAGAGCAAGCGTGGACCTCCAACTTGCACTTGATGTGCAGGCGACGCGTCGGAGCCGCACAGCACCGCTGACCGTAGCACCGCGTGGCCTGCACTTGGCCAGACCGGAAGGGCCGACCCCGTGCTCCAGGCCACGTTCTCCTTCTGTTGCCCGGGCAGTGGGAGCTTGTGCCAGGGCTGGATGGTGGACCTGTGCCTCACTCTGAGGGCTGCACTTCACCATCAGGCAGGGAGGCCTGGATGGGTCAGCCCTGGGTCAAAGAACCTGTTGCGATTCCAGTTTCTGAAACAGTTGCCGTCTGTGAAGCGGTTCCAGTACTTGTCCCTGTCCCTGGGAGACGGTGCTCAGCCGCAGGTTGTGGTCTAGAAGTCACCGTGGTTGAGGGCGCGCCTCCGCGGAGCCTTGGACCTTGCGGCCCACAGGGAGCCTTCGGGCCATGGCTCCTTCGGGCTCGTTGCAGGCAAAGCCGCGAAGATAGAAAGAACTTCCACGCTGAGTGCTGCAGGGAAGGGACTTGGTTGGGAAGGTTCTGCTTCCACAGAATTATTCCGGGATTTATGTATCTGCCACGAGCCCATCTGCGGGGAGAACTTCGACGAGGAGAGCCTCACGGGACGCACACAGGCCTGGCATCCGGTCCACGACGAACGCTGGACCGCGCACCACCGGACCGAGGATTTCCTCCGCCCTGGCTAGCTGAGTAGCGGATGGCAGCCTTCGGAAGGTGAAGCAGGGCGCGGGCCCCGCGGGGCTGGGTGGCAGGACCTGCCCGGGCTCGCGCCGCCGGCTGTGGACAGCTCCGCCGCGTCCCACCGGCCGCGCCTCCCCTCCCTGGCTCAAGGGAGCGCGCTCGGCGCGCACCGTCCGCCCGCAGAATCGCATCATCTCTGGGCCTTCGCCGTGCTTCCTGGGGTTCCATGGTTTGCTCCCCTCCGAGTCGGGCTGAATTGCAGGCAGAATAAAGACTGAATAAAGAAAAAAAAACCTAAATTGCCTGGTTCTATCGCCATTTTAATGAAATACTCATTTATTTCTTGGAATAAGTTTTTAAAACTTGCCTAAGTGGGAGGGTCCTTTTAACCCTAAATAATGTAGCTAGACCTAAGTTTCCATTGATGAAAAGCATTCTAGGTTAAACCACCAGAGGGCACTCTCACACAGGGTTCAATTTCAACTTCCCTCACCCCCAAGGCCGTGATTTAAATGCATTTAATTAGCAGAGAATTTGGATATCATTAGCTGCGAATAAGTAGTAGGATAAATGACAGTAGTAAGATTAAATGTTGAGTAGTCGGAGTCCAATATCCACTCTGTTGATCTATCCATCAAATAAAAGTCCTAACGAGGAAGCCTATTTTTTGTTGGCCAAGAGCAAATAACGCCTCCGTAAGGACCCTAATGCCTACAGAACCAATGCTACAGAGCGATTCTGATGGCATTGTTTTCCAACCATGAATATAGTTCACTTGCTTTTAAAAGAGAGTAAATAGGAAAATAATTGCCCTACCCACAAGAACATTATTAACATATTTTATGTACCTTGTTTTGTTTCTCTGCATGAATATGTTTTGGAAATAAAAATAAAAAGGGCTGGGAATGTAGCTCAGCAGTACAGTGCTTGCTCAGCATGCCTGAGGCCCTGGGTGTAATCCCCAGGATGGTTAAAATAAATAAATAACTGAAATAGGGCTTGTTATGCACGCTGCTTTGTAACTTGTTTTTCCCTTAATAGGAATCTTTTCCACATCATTAAATACTCTGATTTAATTGATGCATATTCTATAATCTCAATTGTCATAATTTAATTAACTTCCTGCTGTTAGACATTATCATGGTTTCTATTTGTTCCGTGTTATAAATAACGCTGTTACTAACATCCTGTTAGACCATTTCTGAGCATTTCCTTAAGTTAATTTCTGCATGTGTAACTGTTGGATCAAAAAGCGTTCATGCTTACTTACGTAGGTGTGTAGCAGTCCTGGGACTGGGCCCAGGGTCATTACATAGAGCTGTATCTTCAGGCCTTTTACAAATTTTTTTATGGACAGCTGGCGGAGTGGTGTACACCTG